AGTCCACTTTGACCCCCAGGTTTGTGACAGCTGGGCCAAGGAATCTAAATACAGATTTGGGGTCTCAGTAGGGCTACCAAAAATCATCACCTCAGGCTTTTTGTCATTGAATTTTAAACAGTTAAGAGACATCCAAGCCTTAATGTCATCCAGACACTGAAGTAATGGCTGTACAGAAATGTACCTTATTTCTTTAAACGGACATAAATCTGACAGTCATCAGCATAAAAGTGAAATGCATTACCGTGTTTTCTCAGTATAAAACTAAGAGGGAGCACATACAAAGAAATGAGGAGGGGGCCTAGAACTGAGCCCTGTGGGACACCACACAAGAGAGGAACAGAGGACGACAGATGGTCGCAGAGACTGACACAAAAAGTTTGTTCTGTAGGACCTAAACCACTCCAGTGCTGTGCCCCTAATGCCCACCCACTGCTCCAAACGAGATAGTAAAATGACATGATCCAGTGTCTCAAACGCAGCTGTCAAATCTAAAAGCACAAGAACAACATAGTCGTCAGTAGCTAATAATATGTAATTAAAACCTTTTAAAGGGCTGATTCAGTGCTATGTAAGGATTTCAAACCAGACTGGAAAACCTCTAAAACATTTTGCTTTTCCACAAAGGTCATTAATTGACTCTGACATCACTGAAGTCTGCATAATTATTTCAGTTTAACTTTCACATTTGAAGCATTTTGATTGGAATGGATTGCCAAACATCAGAATCAGTAACACATATCAACCTATGTGACATCATTCACTGAAGAAGACTTCTGTAACCTGCACTCTTCATCTTGATCAGTCTGCAGACTCGGGATGTGATCACAAAAAACGTCCTAAATCTCCACATTAGCGCCTTCTCTGCTACGCTGTTTTCTTTAAATGTCACCAAACACTTTAACATTCTGCCCAAAGCTTCGACTGCACAGGAGCATCAAACCCAGGAGCAGGAGGAGACATGCTGGGTCAGTGCAGATTTGCCTGCAGTCAGGTGACTCCACAGGAAAAGTAAGCTCACAGACTGAAAGGTCTGAAAATGCCACGAATGCTTTATCAAGAAACGAAACAGAAAGTTCAGCCGGAAATGTCCTCCTCTTCTTAAGCTCTTCTTCCTCAGCACCACACAGACATATCACGTTTCAGCTTTCTGAAAGCTGCTACTGATGCTTCCAGTCACCTCTGATCTTCTCTGCAGCTGTGACGCTGTCAGAGTTCAGCCGCCATCAGCTGATTGCAACTGATTAACATCTGATTCATGTGTCGATCCTGCCCCGAGTCTCGCCTCTCATGCTGCATGCAGTCTAAACATCTGCAGAAAGAACTCAGGTCTAAATCGGTCTAAAGTTAAAATGCCACTCAAGGAGTCGGGTTCAGCGTCAAAGTGATTAAGATGAAGCATCTTCACTGTTTGCTATGATGAAACCATCAGATGACACCATCAGTTTAACACCTTGAGTCAGCTGAGAGCGGGTGAACCTGATGATTGACCTCTTCTTAAATGCAGTTCATTTTATTTATAGAACTTCACTTCAAAAAACACTCATTATATTCTGTAAGGTAAAGCACAATATCTGGGAGAGACACCTAAGAAATCAGACAACACTCGTGAGCAGCTGCTACCCTTGGGAAAGAAAAATTCCCCTTTAACAGGAAAAAACCTCCAACAGAACCAGGATCAGGGAGAAACAGCAAGGAGAAGAAGGACAGAGAGACCACAGAGAGCGGGCCGAGAACAATAACATGCTTTATATAAATTTAGAAGCAGGAAATTGCAGGTCATCCAGCTTTTTATGTCTGTAAGACAGGGGTCTCAAACTGGTGGCCCGCGGGCCACTTCCCGCCCACGTCACATTACTTACAGACCTTATATTGATGTGAAAATATATAATGCAGTTTGGCCCTTGAAGGGACTTTTTTTTGTTAGGGGGGATTTGTTTGTTGTTGAGTGCAATGTTAAAATAATTCTTTAAAAAGCAAAAACTTATTTAATATGAAGGCAATATGAGCAGAGAGTACAAACATGCCAGGGATCGGCTGTGTTAGTTCAGTGAGAGAGAGTCAAAAACTAATATGTACACTTATGTCTGCCTTTTTATTTGGTTAAATACGAACAAAATGATAGCAGAAGTGCTGCCACGTGTCCGGCCAGAAAGAGAGAACCAATTTCGTTATTTGGCAGTTCGATGAAAGGCTTCAGTTAGTTAAGAGGTTTATCTTGTTATACAATATTTGAAATTTAAAAAACAAAACAAAAAACAACTACATTTTAGGAAACATTTGTGGGTCTTTTCTTGTTTGGTTGGGGTTTTTTGTACTACTTGAACACTAAAGTGGTCCTCCAGTGAGACGACAGTGCCAGCAGTGGACCACGGCTCATTTAAGTTTGAGACCCCCGCTCTAACTTATTGGTGTGTGTTATCTGGCTTCATGGATAGATAAAGTTGGGTGTCATTTGCATAGCAGTGAAAATGTATGCTATGCTTTCTAACCATACTGCATAAGGGAAACATGTATAATGTAAAAACTAAACCAACCCCACTAACAGCATGTCTTTGGACAGTTGGGAGAAAGCTGGAGTACCCGGAGAGAACCTATGCAAACACGGGGAGAACATACAAACTCCACACAGAAAAGGCAAAGTGAATTCAGCGAGCATGGCGGACACTCCCTGCACCACCATGCCCTGGCACGCGCAGCGGAAAAGCAACTCCAGTTCTGTGGTGGGCAGCTGCCAGGTTCTGCTCCAGCTAAACTAAAGTAAGTAAAAATTGAAACAAACCAAAGACTGTAATCCTGTCCATCTGTCGACCTCTTGTTTTTCTCTAAATGGAGCAGCTATGATGTTCTTTAAATGTTTTGTTTTCCAGTTGAAATCTGTGAAACAGCTCAAAATGGAGCTTCATCTACTGTCTATCAAAACCATGAGGAACTTTTCCAGGTATTTTTCTGAAAATTGGCCTGAAGTCTGGATCTTGAATAGAAATATTTAACATTAACAGTAAGGAGGTTGTTATTCCTTCACCTTCTCCCAAAGAAGCAATCAGGAGCTGAACAGGGAACATATGAACCAATTATCTTGCTGCACACAATTAAAGAACAAAAGAGACCAAGAGGAAAGAAAGTGACCATCTAATGTTCAGGTGACAAACTAATGGAGATGTGAACTTTGAGGAGGTGGTGAGGAACTTTGAACTTTGATTGAAGCAAGACCCAACAAGAGTGAATAATACTGCTGATTGACAAATATGGTGTGATAAATACATTAGAGGATAACCTAAGAAACCAGAGCCTGAAACTGGACCAGCTGTCATATCAGCCAAGAGAAGCGCTAATTTTCAGATGCCTTTAAGGAGCGACGCTGGGACTAGATGGTTCTGCTTGTGATGGACTGAATGTCTGGGACCTAACCTGGTCTCTGTGGGCGACGACCCTTGGCCCCTAAACATCTGTTCAGAGGAAAGACGAGTTTCAGCTAAACAAACTGTAACTAGCAGCAGTTAGTATTTTTAGGTATTTACAGGCGATCTTTTGGTTTCTTCGGTTCTGAATTAAGGTGTGTTTGTGTTCATTTAGAAATGAGGAGTTCCTCCTAAAAAGGACCATTGTGTGAGGCCCTGGAACACCACAGACCGAAAAAGTTGGAGAGGCCGCCTGCCGCCCGTGGTCATTGGTTGAGAGTTGAGACCTGAGGAGAAAGCTCACAGAAGCAGTACATCTTATGTTCAAGTCTCTGTCTCAGTGGTTGCTGCTCCTTCTTTAAGCAGCAAGTCAGGTGGGGTGTCTCTGCATGTCGCTGACTTCACTGTTTGACCTCACACACCTGCTAGATCACACATACCTGTCAGAACTCACACAACTGTAATTAATGTGGAACTATTGTCTCTGTTTTTGGCTGCTCACCTGGTTTGGTGCACTCACATACACCTACCTGTTTGGAAAAGTGTACATCTACAGGTGGTAAGTCAGCTGTTTATAGCAGTGAGCTGATTGAAGTTGCTGTGAGCAGTGATGCTCACCCTTCCTGTCTTTTTTTTTCCTGGCACCTGTCAGCTCATCATTTTTCAGATTTAATGTTTCACAATAAATAAATTAGAATTTTGTTCTACTTTGATAGATTTTTTGTCTTTGTTTCCAGTTATCAGTTAGTTTTTCCCTCGCTAGGCATCGCCCTGCCTTCCTCTTCCTTCTCACTCAGTAATGAAAATGATTTCATTTGTTTTCAGGAGAGTACAGATAAAAGCTGATTGGAGGTTTTCATTAAAAACACGCAGAGCTCCAAATGCTCAGGAAAAAAATGATTTCAGGTCAGTTTTTATTTCCTGATTGTTGCTCCACTTTCTCGCACAGATTTCAAATGGAATATTAACAATGTGTGTGTGTGTGTGTGTGTGTGTGTGTTATGTAACGGCCCAGCTCTCAGCTGTGATGTTCGGAGGATGACGAATCGAGCTGGATTCTCCTCAGAAAGCCTCGGCAGCAGCTTCCTGTTCCCGACCTTATCGTCCTTCAAAACTTCAATAAAACATCTGCAGCAGCTGCTCCTGCTCCTTCAGATGCCCAATAATAAATACCGATGAATACACCTGTGATTAATACAAACAGGAGAAGGAGGGAGGCTTTATGAATCTCTGATAACAACAGGAAAAATTGTGATCAGGAGCCTCTTTTATTGTGAAGGTCAGAGAAGATTATCATCAAAGCCACCAACAAACAAAAAAAGAATTAAAATTATCATCAATGGAGACAACTGAATAAAATTAAGTAAATAAAACAAGTTGGTAAAATAAATAAATAAACAAACTGAATCTGCTCCTCTTCTCTTCACTCACCACCTCCTCTGTCTCTTTGACCTCCCCCTTTTCATTTCTTCCTCTGCTTCTCCTCTCCCTCCCTCCCTCTCTCTCTTCTCCTCTGCACCTCCTGTTTCTGGGACAGCGCTCCCCCCCTCCCCTCCGCTCCTTAGTCTGCTCCTCCCTCAGTCTCCTGTGAGCAGCAGGAGGAGCAGCAGCCTCCTCTCGTGTTTGTCGGAGCAGCAGGAGTCAGCGGAGGAGCGATGCTGAGCGCGCGGCAGGATGTCTCTCACCTCCTCCTCCTCCTCCTCCTGCCTCCGGACTCTCCGAGCCTTCCTCCTCCTGCAGCTCCTCCTCGTACCGCCGTGCCTCCTCCACCCGCAGCCGTGCCGCCTCCTGGCGCAGATCGGTCACTCCGTGCGCGTCGGTGCGCTCCTGCCGGCGCAGCGGGCGGCGCGCGTACAGGTCCAGGCGGCGCTGAGCCGCGCGGCGGCCGCGGTGAGCCGGGACCGGGAGCTGGAGCGGGACCCGGAGCGTGTGAACTTCCTGCCCTACAACCTGAGCCTGGAGCTCGTGCCCCGGCAGCTGACCGCCGCGGACCCCGAGTCGCTGCTCCGCTGCGCGTGCCAGGGCGTGGTGGTGCAGGGAGTGTCCGCCGTGCTCGCGTTCCCGCAGAGCCGCGAGGAGCTGCTACAGGTGGACCTCACCGCCTCCTCCCTGGAGATCCCATTCATCAGCGTCCTCCAGCACGGAGAGCCGCTCCGCACGCAGGTAAGAGCTGCGCCTGCGCGAGCCCGCACCTGGACCCTGGGCAAGTGTTTCGGAACCGCCCGGAACCACCCGGTCCGAGTCCCCGGTTTGACCTTGACCTGTGTGACGTCTGGAGGTGTGTCGGGGGGGGAACTGCGCTTGCGCGTATGTGTGCGTTTGCTTATTTGCTCTCATGGATTCACTTTGAAGCTTCAACAACTGAAGAACAGGGATGAGAATGTGGAGGAGAACAGAGAACAGGGAGGAGAACATGGGGGAACAGAAAGGGAGTAGCAGAGAAACCATCTGAGGTTGATTAACAGAAGCTCAGGTTAGGTGGAGCTCAGGTGTGTAACAGGTTGGATGAGAAAAATCAAAGCTGGTCTGATGTGAGGAGAAGTTCCTGCAAGTCGAGATTGGACCGATCAGATTTATCAGTGAACTGACTGATCAGTTAAGAGAGACAGAATGTTTTCCGTGGATGTTTCAGGAGAAGTTGGTTTGATGAAGACTTTGGAAATTAGTCCTGCCCATCTAAAGGTGACAGTGGTGGCACCTTGGTGCTGACACAGTCACATCTAAAGTATTATTTAATTCTGGTTTCCATGAAGATGATGTTTCATCATCTTCACAACCACGAGAGGTCCTTGCGTTAAACTTCAGCTCACGAGCAGATGATGCTTTGGCCTCTGTTGTGGGTGGAGCGTCACTGTAAGTCTGAAGCCTGAGCCGCATCAATGTTGATACAAAGCAGAGAAACGTCTTTTAAACAGAGATGCTGGACTTCCTGTTCTGTTCTCCAGGTGTGGCGTTGATATCAGTAAGTGTGCGGAGGCACTGTGCATGTCACTGCTAATTGAATTAAACTTCAGCAGGGGTGGATCTACAGGGTGGCATGGGGTGGCATATGCCACCCTAAAATAATCTCATGCCACCCAAGTTTTGCATATGACAATGCTATTTATTAAAATAAGGTAGCATTACCACTTTGAGCCTGGTTACAATTAACATTGAATATAAATTCTAAAACTACCACCACTAAAAAATGGTCCAGCCCCTAGCCTGAACTGGCTTTATTTCTTGAAGTCAGTAGCAACCGATGCTTATGATTGCGCTAGAGCACATTTTGAATCAAAACTACGGGCATTTCAGATTTCAGCACAGGTGGCTAATTGTTACACTCTGGAAATGGAATGTAGTAACCGTCTGGGGTCCACAGACATGCTGCGTTGCCAAATCACGTGACCAATTTAAGCTGACATAGCTACAAGCTGCAGCCACGCTGAGTCTTTATTTCAGCTTGTGTTGAAAGTTGGACTTCAAACTACATGCCAATTTTTACGTTTTACTTTTAGGCCACTAAAACCAGAGTTATAATAAAAAATAAATAATTTTCTGAATACTAGCGTCATGTTTTGTGCAGGAAGAAACAGTAAAAACAGGATTTTCTAAGGGCAGCGGGGAAAAAAGAAAAGGAAAAAAATGCCACCCTTTCGTGGAAAAGTGTACCACGTCGACCAATAAAAATGACACAGCAACACGTGGGATTTGGTTATTTATGAAGAGGGGAAATTTTTCAGAGCGATGGTGATGAAAGAGAGCGAGAGGGAGCAATATCGACAGCGAGTTTTGAGATGTGACAGATTTGTGATGTGTAGCGTATTTGGGGTGTACAGTTAGTGTGTTGTTGTTGTTTTGTTTTGTGTGTCAGAACAGAGGCGAGTCCTGAATGTCACAGTTGGTGCCAAAAACCCTCCATATGCAGACTGCAGTGTAAACGCTGTCTCCAGGTGGGAAACAGAAGTGATACACCTCCTGCTGTCAGGCCTGCAGGTTTCAGACCTGTAGTGTTCTCCTCTCTCTTTGTGTGGCATCTTATTGTGACTCCTGATTGTTCTCTCATTTTAGTTTTGGTATTTATAAATGGTTGTAGAAAAAACGCCTGATGCAGCGGCTGCGATTTTAGGCAAATACATAATATATAACTTTACTGTGTACAACATTTGTGCATAGGTTTTTAAAATGTACAATTTATATTTGCATTTCAAGTTAAGAAAATAATTCACGAAACACTTCTGTAGATTTATAGTGAAAAATGTTAAATTTTTCCCGACTTGATTTTGTGTGATTTCAGATCAGTTGGGTTAATACAGTATGTCAAAATGAAAAGATAACTGTAAATTCAGACAAATGAGATTGTACTGAAAAGAATGATACCAAGTAAGGCAAGGTTTTCCACCTTTTAGGGGTCAATTATAAAGATAAACTGAAATTGTAGTCAGCAATGGGCAGTTATATCCTGGAACCCAGAGACTTAACCCGATAAATCATGACAAATTAGGTTTCAATGTTTTGTGAAAAGTGTTTTATGACAGTGCAGATTTCTGGCAATTAAATTAAACAATTTAATTATTTGTAATTTAAAAAAAATAGTTAGACCTGTGTGTTTGTAAATGAACCACCTTGCGTTTTGTAGGTTCTGGATTTTAAACTTATTGGGCTGCATGCTTACTTATCATCCAGGCTATACAGTACATAATATCAAAATTCACATGTTTTATGTAACTGCAATCTTTAATTATCTGGGCCAAAGAAAACAAAGTTATAGACAATATTTCCATGAGACATGTGTGTACTTACTGTATTTTATGTATTTTAACCTCATATATATAATGATGTAACAGGATGTAACACCTGTGAGACAAAGGCTTTGATTTTCATGCCACCCTAAGAAAATCTCTCCTGATCCGCCCCTGTACTTCTGACAGCCTATCACACAAGACCAAAGCTCAAAGTCCACCACATGCTGTTAACTGAGCTGTGTTCAGCTCAGCTGTGTGGAAATTAACCATCATTTTTGTTGATTATTGATTAGTTTTATTCTAGACAGCTAACTGATCAATCAGCTGAACCGAGGCAGTAACATCAAAGGGTTCATGTTCTTTCTTCCCTGACTGACTATTCTGAAACAATTAGCAGGTTTTTAGTCTTTATGAAAATATAAAATTTTATCAATGTGATTTTATTTAGTAGAGGATGCAGCACTTCCTGTGGGAGGGTTTCAGAGTAAAAGCCTAACTGTGGTGATGGGATTAACTGAGCAGAGATTTTCATTTTGTAACGCTGAAAACAATCCGGTTAAAGCTGCAAACTCAGACACACACACACACACACACACACACACACACACACACACACACACACACACACACACACACACACACACA